AATGAGTTTATAGAGTTCAAATTTCAAAAGAACCTTACTTACATTTTCCTCATAATCAAACTAAACATCTGCTAAAAGAAACCCTCTAGATCTCCTAAACTCACAAAAAGAATTTAATTCTCAAAGTTTCTAAATAACAAATAGCAATACACCACAACCCAAGATTATTAAAAAAAAATAACAATAATTAACAAAAATACTGTATTACAATTTTTGTTCGTTGTTTTATCATTTAGTTTCGTATACCAATATTCAAATAAATTAAAAGCTTATTCCGTAAAGAAGTTTCTTAAATAGAAAAATAGGTTAATAAATCTAAATTTATATTTATATCAAACATACTAAAACATTTAAATAGATTTTTTCGATGTGTAAATGTTTGAATATTATACGTAGATAATATCAAACTATTAAATTAAAAAGTTAACATAATAATAATAATAATAATAATAATAATAATAATAGTAATAAAAATTTAAATACGTCAGGTTGTGAGATTTAAATAGGGTTTTAGTTGCAGTTTGTGAGATTTAAAAAGGGTTTTAGTTGACTTGAAATATATTCTTTTAACTAAATAGACTTTTTAAAATAATCACCTGACCTATATTTAGTAAATCAACCTAATCTATCTAAGCTTGATTAACCAATGAGTAGTTCAACCTTCTTTTTTTCTTCTTCTTCTTCTTCTTGTGTATATTCTTCGTTTTCCGCCCGTACATTCCCTTGGTCTCTAAGAAACCCAGATAGTGACAAAAATTACGATTATTCGAAGTGTTAGATAATATGAACACTAACAAAATAATCACTATATACAATATCATTATTGTCTCTGTACAGAAAAATTCCTGGGTGACTTGGGAGTTAGTTAAAGGATAATTTACAAATAATATATTCCTTTAACTCACTCGTACTTTTTAAAAGATAAAATATGATGGCTTAGTGAGTATTGAAATAGAATACTTTAAATATAATGCCAGTAAATTTGTATTGACTAAGAGACTTGTTCTTAAACATAAAAAGTAATTTCTATTGATTAAGAGATCGATTTGTTCTTAAACATAAAAAAGTCTCATATTTATGTTTATAGATGTGTTCAATTGATTTAAATTTAGGGATTGATTTAAATCTTACAATTTTTTTAATCTGAATTAAACTAATTTAATGTTGATTGGAATTAATCTAATTTTAAATTATTGAATATTTAATTATTTTTAAAAAAATAAAATTAAAAAAATATACTTTTTTTTAAAGTAAATAATTTTTTTAATATTAACTAAATTAATATATTGTCAAAAATTAATTAAATTAATAGATTCGTAATATAACTTCTTTTAATTTATTTTCTTAATTTATTTAAGGATTTTAAATACATTATAATGTATGAAAATGATATTCAATATATTGTAATATAATTTTTCTTAATTTTTTTAAATATTCAAAAAAATAAATGAAAAAAATTTAATATTATAACGCGAAAATATATTTAAAATAATCAAAAAATTCATACATATTAATTATTAATTAAATAAAAGTAAAAATATATAAATTAATTATTTTTAATTCAAATTTTAAATGACTTAATCTAATATCTGAACTAATCAATATTAAATTTAATTAATTTAATTTAAGTTGAATTCAAATAAAAAATAAATTTAAATCAATTTAATTCAAATTATTAAGTTCATCGCATTGATGAGATCCCATAAACACTACACATTTATAAGAATCAAGACCAATAATAATATATAAATATTAATTTTTTTAAAACATATTTTTAGGATAAAAGTGTAATAGTTTGCCGAATATGATAAAAGTAAAGATTCCAACGGACTTAATATAAAGAACATTACAACATCATTACATATTATTACCGTTTTATATATCATAATTATTATCATACATATCATTTAAAAATCTTAAGATGAATCATACATGGTTATAAAGATTCACATATACCAAATAAAATGTAATATACGATTAGACATCAAACAATAATTAATTTTTGCAGAGTGGTCAATTTCTTAGAAAAATTAGTTATCGTAACAAATAAATATGAAAAACAGTGATACAAGGATCTGTATGTTATGTTATTTTTTTTGCATGTAGGTATTTATCTTCTTTTTAGTTGGGAATGTTAGGTAGCGTTGGGAAAATTATTTAGCAATTTTTTTAGGATTAATATTTTTAAAAAAATAAAAATTGTGAATATGATACTTTTTGTGTTTAATACAAATTTTAAAAATAATATTTTGACCTTAATATTTTTATGAAAGTGACATTTTTATGTTTTGCTCAACTTTATTTTTTATAATTAATTAATTAAAGGTGAATATAATTGCTTCCCAATGATATGGGGATGAGAGTTATCTTATAATCCAATTTTTATGAGTTTTTTTTAAATATTTTTTTATGTGGTGTAGACAAATAATATGTAGAATTATATCTCGACTATTATCAAATGTGTGTTATACATACTACTCTCTAATTTAATCAATTGTTCTAATATACGTACTTTACTTTTTCTCTCTCTCTCTTTCTTTTCATTTTTTTAAAACCTTAATTAAAATATAAATATATAATATGTTAAATTACACTCACTTAGTGTAACTTATCATATATTCTAAAAGAAACAAATTAGTGTATGCTAAATTTTTTTTTGCAAAATTTGCTACGTTAGATGTACTTTTTTTTTTAATTTTAAAAAAAGTGTTTTAACAAGTTACACCTTGAAGGCATTTTAAGGATTGTCCCACAATGGTAACATTAATTGATTAAATTTATTTGTTCTAACCAACTAAGATTTCAGATTAAATATTAAGAATTTTAAAAATTGATAATTAACTTTTATGTAAATCTAAACTTTTATTATTTTTTTTTATAAATATTTTAAGGGAACAAGAAACATAACTTGTTAAAATACTTGTTCTATATGTAATTTTTAAAATATTTTCTTTTGAACATTAAAAATATATGTGAACTCAATAACTTAAGTATAATCAGAAGAATTATATTATTTTTAGTAAATTTATGTAATCCAACTTAATTAAATTTAATTAATTTAAATTTTATATTTGTCACACTTAATCTAACCCCACCAAGAAACAATTATTTTGACAAAAATTAAATTAAATTATCGATAAGAATAATTTTTAAGTAAGTTTTATTTATATATTTATTTGATTCTTGAGAAGAATAATTTTTTAATAAAATTTTATTTATTTATTGTTAAATTAAATTAATCTAAAACAAAATCTTAATAAACCCAATGAGTAATAAAAATCTGAAATGATTGGTAGTGACTGGTTCCCGATCTAATTCGGCGGAAAACATGAGAAACAAAAAATAAAAGAAAGAAGCTTAATGCCTAAGCTTCCTTCTTGTTGCGTCGCTTCTTAGAGAAGCTCACAATAAAGACGTGTCGGCGAATGCCACGTGGAAAATCTTAATTATGTTACTCTGTGTTCGCGTCTATTCTTCATACTTTGAACTCAACATCTAACATTCCAAATCAATTTATACTTCACAAAAGCATCCCTCCAACGTGACCTGTCACTTCTTCATCCCATCGAATAGAGAGAGAAACACTCTTATCCAAATTATCTAAAATATTATAAATAAATTTATGCATAAATTAGTTTTTTTATTTATAAAGAAATATATTTCATTTTCTCTTCTTACTTTTTTCCTAAAAGTATTTTTAGAAAATTTCATCCCATCGAATTCTTTATCTCTTATATATAATTTGATAAGTAATCGTATTTCTTAAGACTATAAAAAGTGTAGTTTAGTTGGTAATAATGGTTGTATCTTTTAAATATATAATGATGAGTTCAATTCTTAATTTATGTATATAGAAAAATATTTGTTATTAGAGATTAATCATTTAAATGCATTTAAAAAATGTTATATTTAACGAAAATTATAATAAAATCATGCTAACATTCGTGACTACAGCAATAACACGTTGAAAAGTATGTAATAATCTAGCATTCAAGGCAACGGATTCTAATTCAATAAGGCTTTGTGGTTGCATATCTGCACACGAGACACTAAGTGGAAACACATGAAATAAAATCACTTCGATTTCAGTCCTCTATTTAGCAAAATGGCTGCAATTACTCTATAAAAATACATTAATAATATTAAACGTTTTGTTAAAGAATTATTTATTCTTTTAATTATCACCCTTAAGACAATACGTTTAACAAAATCGTTTGAATATCGTAACATGTTGTTGTGAAATTTTGAAAACATTTTCGTTGTTCTCGGCAGAAAATATACGTGGAATCTTTGTTTGCTGATTGGTATGAATGTGAAGGGAATTAAAAGGGGAAAGAGAGAGACTGACTAGATATGAAATCTACGTGAATCTTTTGTTAGTCGGCGAATATGTTTGTTCTTGTTTGAAAGACTTTTGAATATATACTTATAAAAGAAAAAAAATAAAATAAATTGTTGATAGAGTAGGATTAACTTACACGAGAAGTTGAATTGATTTTATAGGAAAGTTAAATGGTAAACGTATCCCTGATCATGTTACATTCTTGATCGGTTGGTTCGTATGTAGATGTCTTGATGTGTATGAACTATTTACATATCTTTCACAGCACTCAAATTTGACACTGCAGCTAATGAACTCCCTCTAGAGTGGTGAAACGTCCTTAGAACTTAGAAGAAGAATCAGGTTGCCCCGTTTCCACTCTTGCCACCACCTCTCTCCCATCTTTTTAACTCCAACGAACATTAATTTTAATTATGCTAAGAAAAGTTTTGATATTTTATGTATAATAGCGATACCCTTTTTAATTGCTTAATTAGGTAAAGTTCAATTAATTATTTTAACCTTACCCACGGAGAAAAAAAGTCTCCCTAACTAGGCCGCACTTATTCCGTGGTACAAGCGTATATACGAAAGCATAGCAAAACGTATGCTCCAAGCTACCCTTCTTATATATCTAGACCCAAACTTTATTTCTAACCTTTCTTTTATAATATATATATATCCTCTCTCTCTCTCTCTCTTTGTGAACAAGAGCCAACTAATTTGCGATTTCAATCATTGAATCATAGCATAGAGAACACACACAGAAGAAGAAGAAGAAGAAGGAAAAGTGCAAATTAATAAACCTGGTATGCATGATTAAATTCTCTAGATCTTTCAGCAACTAGAAGGTGATATGATTCAGAATATATAAACGAGTCCCAAAAAACACAAGCCACTTGCTTTACCTTTCTTCACCCTTTTCATCTCTATTTTCCGATTTTATTTATTTATTTTTTTAGTAAGAGGGTTTGGAAGAAAAAAGGGTTTTGTTTTGAGATATATGTGCATGTGCATATAGGAGATTAACTAACACAAAAAGATGACATGGTGCAATGACTCTGATGAGGAGAGGGGCTTTGAATCAATCACGCCAACTATGACTGTTACTCCTAACACTGATGATGCTCCCATAAAACTCACCGAAGAAATTCGAACCATAACATGCCCCTCGTGCGCCCATAACATTGATTTCAAAGATCAGGTACTATATAAATTAAGGTTTCTAATACCCTCAAATATTTTGTGCTTTTATCTATTAATTAGTTGCTTATGTACGTTTATGCACCAACCTTTAATTAGTTTGTGTTGTGTGTGATGAACTGTTTATAAGGGTGGAATTCATGACTTGCCGGGGTTACCAGCTGGAGTGAAGTTTGATCCGAATGACCAAGAAATACTAGAACATTTGGAGGCAAAAGTGAAGTCTGATGCATGCAAGCTTCATCCCCTTATTGATGAATTCATACCAACGCTTGAAGGGGAGAATGGGATTTGTTACACACACCCAGAAAAGCTACCAGGTGCTTTCTTTTTACTTTAATTATTTTTTGTCTAATTAGCATAGCTTAATTAGTTTTTTAATTAGATTAATATATATTGCATGTGATATACTTATCATTGAAATTCTCATTAACTGGGAGACACGTCTTGATGTGCACGATACCGCATGCATGAAATTAATTGTTTTAGCAATGGAAATGATTTATTTTTTTTCTTTGAAAAGGATCTCTAATCATAAGGCGGTTGAAAATGACACCGGAACATATTTTATGCACTCTATTTAAAATGAGATCTCAAAAATTAATGTTTTTGGTTTTAAATGGCCTTTATATGTAAACATTCTTCTTATGTTTAGAGAGACAAAAGATTTCAAAATGGATTAGAAATTATGGTATGTGAAAGATGGGGATAAAAACAAACGGAAACCTTGAAATAAAAAAGTTGACCAGTCTAAACAATGATGCCTTTCTTGATTCGTTGTTCTTGCAATTGAAACGTAGCAAAGAAAACTTTCCTTTCTAGAGTCCTTGAATGTGTCAATCTTATTAGAAGATAAGTTGAAAGAAAGAAGCAAAGAGGAGCACGCATGCACCTCTTGTAAAATACACAACCAATTTGTTCAAGTATTTTGCAAGAAAGTGCTAGAGTTGGCAATGACTACCAAACTCAAAAGTGGCATCCTATCTTACATTAGCCATGTAGCAAGAGAAATGTAAATGTCAGCCCTTAATTAATTTTTCGAAATGCATTTTTTTATGTCATATTTCAACATGACACCAAATAGAGAGTTGTTGACTGTTGTCCGCGAATTGTATCAACACAAAATATGAGGTTGCTGCCTTGTTAGTACTCTTACTGGCAGCTTTCTCATTTTTTTTTACTGGATTCTGGATACAACTCTTATAAACACACCACCCTTTTTTTTCTTCCACCGTATTTTCCCCTAATTTTCTTTTCTGTTACATATATTATTATTTTTTCTCTATTTTTTTAATCTTCTTTCTTTCACCCAATACACTCCCAAAATAAAATATGTATAATATATATATATATATATATATATATATATATATATGTGTGTGTGTATGAGTTGTGATTTGTTAACTTTAGGATTAAATTTAAAAATTTATATCAAATCTTACACATTTAATAACCTTTTGTATAATGTAAAATTAGTCGATCTAATCATCGAATTGTGTAATACAATATTCAAGATTATGTATATTAAATTTTATATAATTTTAAAATTATTTAATAGTTCATCACATTATTTTATTTTAATGTATAATATGACATTTAAAATATATGTAAATATATATTTTTTTGAGAATATATTTAGGAAAATTAAAATTGTGAGAAATTTGATATGCATAATTTAGAATATAATATCACATAATTCAACTATCAGATCACTTAAATTAATATTATATAAAAAGATATTAAATATGTAAGATTTTATATAAATTTTTAGATTTACACTGATGTTAACAAATCCTGACTTTCTCTCCCTTTCCCTCTATATATGTGTATGTATATGATAACATTTTACATGTGAAAGAAATTAGTACAGATTTGGCTAAAATAATTCTTTTTTTCCCTATTTTAACTTATCTTTATCACGTACTTCATTAACCTTATATTTGAATCCGAAATAGAAGAATAATGCATCAACACCTTATTAGTTAAAACATATCTTATTGACACTCATTAATTTTCTTCATCTCTAAATTTATATTACATCATATCATCTATGATATCTATACTTCTCTCTTTATCACTCTAGGTGTCAAGTCGACTATGGATGTCTATCCATTATTTTTCTCAGTAACATTCATCAATATAATGCTTTCTTAATTTTTATATAATTCATCTCCTTTTATTATGCATGTAGCTCCTCGGAACTCTTTAGATAATACAGTACGTAACTTCAGTGTTGGAAAAACTAATGATTCATTTTAATTATGAATCAGTATTTTAATATAGCAAAGGAAAAACTAATGATTCATTTTAATATAGCAAATCATGAATGTACTAGAACACTAACAGTTGATGTTTATCTCATCAACAACTACGAATACTTATTTTACCATTGCTCAGTATGTGAGAAATTGTTCTATGAACAATGCAGGAGTTAGCAAAGATGGACAGATCCGCCACTTCTTTCACAGGCCTTCAAAAGCATACACAACAGGAACAAGGAAGAGAAGAAAGGTTCACACTGATGACGAAGGAAGCGAAACAAGATGGCACAAAACGGGCAAAACTAGAGCAGTCTTAGCTGGTGGTGCAGTAGTAAAAGGTTTTAAAAAAATACTAGTCCTCTACACCAACTATGGCAGGCAAAAGAAGCCTGAGAAGACCAATTGGGTGATGCATCAATACCATCTTGGCAGTAGTGAAGAAGAGAAAGATGGAGAATTAGTTGTTTCAAAGGTCTTCTACCAGACACAACCAAGACAAAGTGGTGGTTCCATTATCATAAAGGATCCGTACGAAAAAATTTTGAATGATGGAAGTAGCCACGGCCACAATACAATACCTAAAACTGCATCTCTTGTGGACTGCTACAATGCTCCTTACATAAATTATGATCATGTTCATGTGAGTCATAATAATAGGGAAAACTCCCCACAACTAATTATTCCAAGCTCGGTTGTTCAAGTTGATGGGACTTATTCAATTCGCCTAGCAATGGATGCAAACAAAGCAAGATTGGAAAGTAACACTGGGAAGAGTTTCTAGGTAGATCTAGCAGCATGCATTGACAATGATTTAGTTAGATGTCTTTCATATTGTTTCCATTACTAATTGCATGACAGTATTTAATTATATGTGGGATTAGAATGAAGGAATTCCAATGGTTGGAAAAATAAGTTGGCTTAAGATATATACGATGTGGTGGACTTTTCCATAATTGACCCTGGTTGAAGTTGAGACACAAAAAGCAAGGTATATTTGCTGTATGTGGTTTGATTTTGATTTTAGTGTATATGTGTATTCGTAAAATGAATTTATATATATAAATGTTACAATAGTAGTAGGGTTATTGTTGATGTTTATTGACCACTAATCATACTATGTCAATATATATTTGTCTAGAATTGAACTTTTCGTTTCATCGCCCCCTCTCAATCCTGAATAAATTGCTGAGATGTTTCGTTATTATATTAATTATACATACATACATCTCAGCAACTTTATTGGGAAGTTTGTCCCCTTTAGTATATTTTCCTTTGGTCGTTTATACAATATATAGAACCTTCTTTTACTTTTAAAGGTTGATTGGAAAATAACATGCAGGTTGTAGATTCGTTCTTACTTATATTCCATGTTTATTATGGAAGGCTTTTTATTCTCTCTTACTTTTTTGAGTATTGAGTCTCTTTACCTGTGCGTATGTACTCTTTTCTCTTTTCTTCACAAATCACTGTTGTACTGTTTTTATATTATTAAATTTATATATTATAAAGATAAAATATTACATACATATCATTTATTTAGATAAATCAACTATATTAAACTAATTACGAGTCATATATATATATATATTCTTAAACAATAGGTTTCCAATAATGACAAATTGAAACAAGAATATATTTTCATCAAACCATCCCCTCCTCCTAAATTTAAAATTTATCAAAAATAAATCTATCAAGCCTAACTTAATAATGATAATATTTTTTTATGAGTACATAATAATGATAATATTATGAATCTAGAAATAGTAGATTTTCATTATTTCTTTCACGATTAAATATCATTCTTTAAATAATTAAGGCTTTTTTATAAAAAAAAATTCAAGAGCGGCTACTATATAAACTATCCAAAAAAAAATGTTTTCTTCAACCTCCATTGTCTAATTTAATTAAATACCTCAACAACAACAAAAATTGATTACACTTTGTATTTCAAATTCTTCCACATTTCAAATTTAAAGAGCTATATATAAGGAGTTCGACTATTTATATAATTGATTAATTATGTGTGCGCATTGCATTATATTTTGCACTTGTTCACACACATATATATATATATATATATATATATATACAAAAATAATTTTATTTTTACGAATAAAACATTTATTTTCCTTGACTAGGTATGATATCATACTTTTAATCATCTTTTATGTAACAATAGGTCAAATAATTTTAAATAAAAGTGTAAAATTTCTTATTATTTGTATTTTTTATTATTATATTTTTCAACTTACTCAGATAAGGTTACAGATTTAATTTTCATTTATAATCAATATTAAAAAATTATACTATTGACTGATCAAAAATTATTTTATGTATAAAATTTAAAATAATTATTATAAAATCTATATGATATATAATAAGTAATTAGATAAAAATTAATATAAAAAATATCTTTATATTTTGAGTACATATGTCCTAATTAAATTCTAATGTTATTACCAGGACTACACGCATTGAATGGTCTACATAAGAGCATTTTTCTTTCTTTCTCCCCAAGCAACTAGTTGAGATATGATCCTGTTAATATCATATAACATAATCATTATCCACTAACTTATTGACTAAGGTCAAGTACCGTTGTACCAATAGCTTGCGCGAAAAGAAAAAGAAAATGTGAAACTTTGAATAAAAAAATTTGGAAAGCGCGTACTTCATAGATCATATCCCCTACGTACGTCTAGAACTAATATATAAATTAAGTACAAACAACATAAAGGGTAAAATATATAATTTCAATCCACAAGTTCAAAACTTTTTCTTAATGAATTATATCACGTAATCAATGAACTTACGCAATACTTTTTAGTTTAATGTTGGTATAATTTTAAGTTAATTATTATAAAAATTAACATATAGGACAGCTTGTTATATTAAATGATATATAAAAAAAGAGTAATGCTATATATTCTGAATTGTTCGAAATTTTCTCCGAACACAAGATTTAAGTTGGTCAAGTTACACATTTGATTTTTTAAAAATTTTAAACATTCGAGGATTTTTCGGATTTCAAATTCAGAAGATTTAACATTTTTATATAAAAAAATTACTAAGTATACATATAAACTATTTACTCATAAATTTATCTATTTATTATGCAAATGTAATTTCTCTTTCGTAATTTGAATGTTTATCCAACAAACTTATCAAAAGCAAGTCCTAGCTATTGCTCCAGTCTAAAGAGAATAATTAGATCCTGAAAATTTCTCATTATGGACTGTCATTAGTTGTCTATTTTTATTTATGAAAAGTAAGTTGACTATAAGTTGTAAACATGTATGAAACCTAACAATGTTGGTGGTAATTGTAATATTAATAGTAGATACACTATGCATCCTTTCAACTGAGTTAAGACTCCCTCATCTAGCATTCGCCTATGATGGAAAAGAATCAAACTTGTTACGTACGGTTCTTTTTCTTAATATTATTATTTGGCTAGATTCTCTCCAATTGTTCTCTTTGTGATATTGTCCAATGAGTTGCTTACTGTGAAGAAACCATGAAACAACATATAAAAATAGTGTGGAAAATATTAAAAGGTGAATTATGAATCTACCTAAGACAAATTCTACGACAGGAGAGTTAAACATATTTGTTATCGTAAATCATTTGATATATTAATATCCTAATTAATAGACTGTTGTAAAATGCATTAATTGATATATGCGTGACAAAAATAATATTTATATACAGTTAATATAAAATTAAATATTTAATAATATACTAATTTATATGGTTCAATAATCACTGCTTCATTTAATGATTTACTGACTCATTGTTTTGATCGAATTGATTATTGATACGATTTTGATAACACTTTAGAATAAACGAGATAGATATTTTTTGAATACATCTCCTCAAGGCAAATATTATTAAACTCCATGAGTATATAAATGAGGAGTTCAGATATAGGATAGCATTATCTTTAATATTTGAGGGTTTTTGCAGGCCCTTTATCAGGTCTAAGGCAACCTCTGAGATCTGCACAATTGCAGGCAACTCACTGGTATTATTTCAAAGAATTTTTGGTTTCCAAGAAGATGAATCTTGGAAGTCGTTTTGGGATCAAGAAAAGACTTGAACAACCTAAATTCAGGCCCAGCATTTTATAATAAATAAAGATTGGGCAAAGAGTGTGGGGGTAATGGAAGATGGTGGTGCGCTTGTGCCTCTTGGCAGCAATAGTGCAAGCAGGAAACTTGATTTTAAAACTTCTCTCAACTTTTCCCAGTCTTTCAATATAAACATTAAACAGGTATTCATCAAAATCCTTCCTCCATTGTAGCATGATCCAAACAATTGCCATGCAAACACATAAAGGAAAGAGTTTTTATATTGAAAGAGTGGAAAAGGTTGATCGAAACAAACTTACGTAAGTTTCAACTATGGATATATAGGTGGAAAGATTATAAGGGGGACAACCTCACCTTAGAAGTCCTTTCTTTACACTTAATTTCTAGTCGATTTGTGATTTAGATATTTCCACTTTCATGATATGGTATATGTTGGTCACGTAGACATGCGATTAAAAGTCAAGGATGTTGACATTTTTGGCATGAGTTCAATTTGTACAGATTAAAAACAAGAGCTTACTTAACTAGGGATAAGGATCATCTGCCGTTGAGTTAAAACTGTACCGGCTGCTGTTCCGTCTTTTACCATAAATTTTTATTTTATTTTTATTTTTATTCAAATAAAGTATACATGCTCATTGGTCAAGATTCAAAATTGAAATGCAGGAGACCCCGATCCACTTAACTAGCCATTTTTCCTTTTACATATAACACGTTTTGCCTCTTTAACATACACTCAGTATGATGATATGTTTGATTTGCTTTTAAAATGCATTTGTACACTTAAATTTAGCTTGAAATTTAATTTAGTTTGAAAGTAATATCAAGATTGCTTTTGTAAACTCAATTTGCAAAATCAAGTAAATTCAAATTTAACTTTGCAAACTTTAATTCAAATATCCACTATATCCATTTACTATATCTTTTTAGTCTTAGAATCCAAAAATGTATTTCTACACTTTATCGTAACAGGTGTAGAATTTAAGGAAAATCGTTTTACCTACCTCAAAGAACGGTTGAATTCAAAGGTTAGATAATGAAGAATCACGAGTTCAAAGGTTTTTAATGACAGTTTTATTTTACTTGCAAATATATTCCACTGTTAAAGATCAGTTAACAATTTTCCTTCTTTAAACATTATTTATAAAAGTATCATTCATATTATAAAATTATACAACAAAATAAAATTAAACTTAATACTTCCTTTGTGTCCTGTTTTAAAATTGATGACATAGTGAAAATTCGAAGGAAAATACAATTAAGCCTAAATAATTCTCCGGATGAGATTTGCACATGATTTTAGAGTATTTTATAAAACATTTACCAAATTCCTTTTAATCCGTTCTTCAATAACAAAAGGGGTGCACAATCAATAAGGCTGGTCTTGATATATGGTTTAGAACTAATCTAATATCCTTTGTTGGAAGAGTTAACTTACAAATAAACGCTTAATACAGCTATACAAACCCTACTGAATACAACCAACTCAAGCTTTTAATTTAACAAATAAAAGACCAGACCTTCATATCTTTGGCCAACCTGATGTCATTGCTAGCCAGCCACGTAAACGCCCAGTATAATAATGCACTAAAACTGAAAAATCGAATTAACAAAGCACTTTCGGTCTAGATGCTAGCCAGCCACCATAGCATAAATGAAATTTGTTGGCCAACACCCATGTTAGACGCCTCAATTGGTGGACGTGATTACATGCTTAGTTTCTCCGGTAATAAGTCCTCAATAGAACAGCTATGACTTCTGAAGAACACATTTCTCGTACAGAGCAAGGATAGCTTTCTTGTTTGGAGTCTTCAACTCAAGTAACTGATCACCGTAGTTATGTTTTGTCAGCTCTTGCTTGAGCTTCTGGACTGTAAACTTCTTATAATCTTCCTCGAGTGTTTGCTGACTACGATTATCTTCATCACCATCAATGGAACCAACATCTTCCAGACGCGTGAACTTAAGTTGATTAGATGTACTCTTAGATCTCTTGGTTCCCCTTAAAATTCTAAGGCTTGAATCCATATCCTGAACAGAATCTACACCTA